CCTGAACGGCAGGCGCTGCGCAGAACGGAGCGAGCGGCGCAGGAACTGTCGGAGCGAGATGGATGAGGCGTGAAGGCTCTTCGTTCGGATGCGAGGTCTGAGGGGGCGGATCGCGAAGTGCCGCAGGTCACAAGACACTTGTTGGGATGGTGTGCTCGGGCAGCTCAGGTGGAAGATGAGGTGCCGAGTGACAAGGCTGAGGTATGACAGAGGAAGCAGAACAGTAAGCAGACGGGAGGCGTCCCCGGCGGCGTCGGGCGTATAGTGCCCGCGCCTCAATACTCGGACCCCGAGCTGGGCGAGTCCAGCACGACGGTGCATGTGCCCTTCTCGAGATGGTACTTGAGTCCGTTCGGGTTCAGATACGTCTTTGTGCAGCCCAGCCGCTGGCGCGGGGTCAGCAGGGAGTAGAGAGGCGCGGGAAGAAGCAGCTTACCGGGCACTTGTACGCCTTCTCCCGGTCGCGCAGCCGCCCGCCAAGCGTGCGCTGGCGCTCCGTCCGTCGGGCCTTGCCCTCCCTGCGCCGCCCACTGGCCTTGATGCGCTCCGCTGCGCCCCCCGCCGCGTACGCGCACTCGCGTTCGCTCTCCACGCTCGAGAGCGGCGACATGGGCGAGCTGGGGTCGTCCGGCGCATGCCGGGGCGCGGCGGGTGTGGCCGCGGGGGACGCGACGGTGAGCAACGCAGGCGGGAGGCAGAGCGCGTCGCCGGGCACGGGGGAAGACGCGCGGGAGCTGGAGGCCGGGGACGCGTCGAACGCGGGGTAGGCGACGGCGCTCAGGTCGAGCTTGGTGATGTCCCGGAACGTGCTCGCGGCCTGCGCGTACTGGAGCGCGGGGCCAAGCGCGTCGGCAGGAGAGGGAGGCCCCGCATGTGGGTAGCCGAGCACGAGGCTGGCGCGCGGCGCGGACGGTGACGGTGACGCGAAAGGACCAGGAGATGTCGGAGAGACGGTGGCGGAGGGGGAAGGGAATGCGGGGTAGACGGGGCGGCCATCTGCGCCGAGGATGACGACGTGGGCCTCCTCAAAGTGCTCGAGGAGGTCGTGGAGGTCGCGGAGGGCGAGGCCGCAGCAGGAGAAGTTTGAGCAGAGCTCCTGCTCGAGGGACGCGTTGGGGGCGAAGAGCGGGTCGGAGGAGTGTTGTGGCGGGCTCGGGGATGGGGAGCGGGAGACATGGAGGGACGAGTCGAGCGGCCACGGGTGCGACGGGGTGAAGCTGTCAAGAGTCAGTCTGACGGGGATCGAGGGGCACGTCGGGGAGACTCACTCGAGGGGATCGAGCCAATTCATGTTTGCGGGTGAAGCTGGGTCGCGCGCGGGGAGAGGAGATATAGCACGCGACGGGGGCACTTGCGGGCGCTGTGCGAGAAGCAGAAGCGCGGGCAGGTGGGGAACCGTGGTTGGCACGCGCAGGCCCATACAGCGTCCGCCCTGTCAGCGGATTCGCACACGAGCAGCTTGGCGCACTTGCGACGCTTGCTCGGGGCGCACAAGGGCCCAGGATAGATGCGCACGCAGAGCAGACGTATGACACAGGCCGCACGCATATGCGTCGTGGCCTCGCCACGCCCCGGCCCGCGTCCTGCAAAGCATCAGTTAACGCATCAGTCAACGAGCGTGGAGTTCTGGCGCGTCCTGGCGGCGCCGCGTGTCCAGCGTCGGGGACGAACGTAATGACGCATGCGAGGCACAGCAGGCGTAGTCAGTGCGTAGTCCCCTGTGCTCAGCCCTGGGCGCCCCATTTGGGCCGGCCGAGGTGTCTCTACAGCCTCCGCTGCCAATCTGGTCCCGCCCTGCCCACATCGGGATTCATTGCTGTCCGGAGATGGCCTCTGCCGGCGCCCAAGCAGCGCAGAAGCCGACCTGTGGGCTCGGGTCAACGGACGGCACATATGCTTCTGCTCCGGGAGCGTCATCCGTGATCGTCCTTGCTTGTGAGAACCGTCTTGCAGATCACAACTGCACCACGGCAACGGCCGGGCCAGAGACCCGTCCACTCTTGCGCCGGAGAGACTTTCATCGGAGGTGCTTGCTTGTGGTGCACCCGTTCGTGCCACGCGTCTGGGAGTCCGCGCCACCAGATTGGCTCTGGCAATTGCCGAGCCAGTCAGAACCGTCCTTGACGCGTCCCTACGAGTCTACCGCTTCCCGTGCTGGCGTACTTTAGAGCTCATCTTCACCTTGTCTGTGCAACTCTCAGAGCTGGTGTCCATCAATCTTAAACTTGTGAACGGACTCCGGGTATCATGTGCACCATCGATCTGCAGCACACGCCTGTGGAACTCAAAGAGCGCCTTCTCAGACAATCATCTGCACTCCAGCGAGCAAACCATCACATCCCTACTGCTCCACACTGCGTACATCAATCTCTGGCTACTCCGGATATTCTGCCCCCACACCTGGATCTTCTGCATCACCGGTGATTGTCAGTTCCTAGCAAGCCCATTAGAGCAGCCCGCAAGATGTCCCTGGATTCCCCAAAGGCGCTCGCATGCTTGTACCAATCCGCTACTTCTAATGAGACTTGTTCACGATGCGAGGATAGTCAAATTTACCACTTTATTAAGCCGCGATGGACGCCCACATCCGCGTGCTCACAAGGACGCCAGAGTACTAGCCCCACGCACCTTAATGAAGTGGAGCACCACCCACCTGCCGCTGCGTCCTTCTGATCTGGGCGTGCCTGAACGCCCACAGTCCTCATCACCGATAGTCGGCCACCGCGGTACGACCTGTGTGTGAATGAGACCAGCGTTGGGCTGCATATGCAGACCTCCGTTGAGGGACAATATGCCGGGGATGATCTTCAATCTAGGAACAGTTAGCCGGCTTAGTCTCTGATTCTATGCACGCATACTTGCGCAGTGCGTTCTGGCACCTTGTCGATGGGTCTCCTATAGCCCTACTGGGATGTCACAAATGTTACTGGCGCATCGTGGCGGGGCGTGGCACTGAAACCTTCAACATCTGTAGTGTCTCAGTAATGCTGTGTTGACCTGTCGGAGGGCCGCTTGCACACATGGCATGCACACGGGGGATATTGCACAGCGTAAGCCCCTGTCGAGTGCTGGCCCCGAAACGCCACTCATGACGAGTCTGGGAGTTATCGCATTTTCGCTTCCTGTGCCCGCACAGATGCGGTATCTGACATACTACGCATCCCAACTCAGCCGATTCGGTGTTCGACAAAGCGGGAGATCCCACCCGAAATGCACAGCTCGGAAGCCCGTACGAACGACCCAACTTCTACTTCTAGGATCCCTGCACCACGTGCACTGTGGTGCAGAGGTGTCAGGTACGGCCCATGCTAGTGTACATACTTGAGACGAGACGTTTCGCTGAGGGAAACCCGGCGGGAATCTCTGAGGACTCGGCGATAATCTGAAGCGTTGTATGACATGATATGTATCAAATATATCTTGAGCTGAAAAATGTCGTAGACATGGTAAACAACTTAGGACCATTGCGATGTCACGGTAATTTCGAATGTAACCCAAACAGCTGCGAGTCTTGGGGGAGAAAGATCGGGAGTGTGGTGTAGCATATAATTATCAAAGAAAATCGGTGATAGTACGGATACATTTGCATGTCGACACAGCCTCCAAGCTTGAGACAGGGACACAAGAAAGGGAAACTGAGGTGGACCTCACAAGATACATCCAATATACTGTCAGAAGGAACCTGATGGCTGCTGACGTTCCGGCAGGGACAATGGCCTTCTGATGGGACCCGCTCAATGTGGCCTGCGTATCATCATGAGCTTCAAACGGCTGGGCACTGGGTGATTGCTCACCTAATACTAGTACGGCCCAGAGGAATAGCATCCAAGGGTACAAATGAGCGCATCAAGGACCCACGGACTAGTCGGGTCGTCCCGACTAGTCGAACCATCCGAACTGGTCGTACCAGGGAAAAGAAGTAGGAAACATAGACCCGGTGTGAAAATTGCCGCAGCTGGTGCCACAAACCTAAATGCAATGTGCGCCGGAATTCCATACCCCATGATGGCGGCGCCGAGCGGGAGCGCCACGTACGGAAATGCGCATACAACGACGGGCAATAAACGGTATACGTAGTAGACCATACCGGGCATCGGTCTTCCTGAACGCACAGCCTTTCCACGCGGCGTATTGCTCTTGGGCCGCGCGACACCATACAGGAAGAGGCCGGCGGAGCTGCCTAGCACGACCGCACCGCTGGCAGTAGCCCTATAAATGGCGGCGGCGGAGACCTTGATCGTGCTTGTCTCCCCGGAGCCTGATATGTGTATGGATAATGGGAAACAGAGTGACGACCATACGAGGGAAATCATCGCAAAGACGACCATGGAGCGGAGCATGGTGCACAGCGCTATACGATTCGAGCTCTCGTGGTCGCCTTCGCGGATGATATGAGTGTGGCGTCTAGGTCTGGCGGTTGGACCGGTGTCTACGGAACGTTGTGTATAAGTCGCAGGCGGGGGGAGCACATGTGGCGACTGCATAACGTCCTCGGATAGAGGGATATCCTCCATTATGCTGTCTGGCAATGCGACAAAAGGCAGACGACCATCGGCTTCCGGTTCTTCCAACGAGACAGGAGAATATTCTGGCATCAAGACGGACGATTGGAACGGATGAGTATCGTTGCTGTGGTTCGGAGAGGTCGATCCAAGATCGAGCATGTAGTATCCTGGCAGTCTTTTCGGACTATCGAGGATGTAAATGCAACCTTTGTCGCCAAGTGAGCCTCCAGCCCTGAAGCGATTCCGCCAAATGCTCTTTCTCCTCAGGGACGAATAGATGTGGGTGAGAAGCAGCAAACCTTAAAAGTGGTGTAAGGTCCGGAGGGTGAGCGTTCAGGACAGTTTGCCCAAGGGAGGCCTATATGGAGAATGTACGGAGAATGAAGTATGTGGATCACGTCACTTTATATGTTTCGTAGAATGGTGGCGTCGCCGCGCCTGATCTATCCGAGAAGGCCGTAGGGCATTTTGTGGTTTGTCTGTCGAGAAGCAAAAAGGCGTTACCAGGATTCGAACCTGGGTTTCGGGAAGATCCTGTAATCAGAATCCCGAGTGATGGTCCCCTACACTATAACGCCACGTGCGCTAAACTGTATCGCATGTACATATAAGGGTCGCTGTCAGGGAGACAGCTTGAACTAAGTAGTCTCCCTCTTCGCCTCTGTTGATCCTATTGCTCATGTTCAATTGTGCTGCGGTCGCTTACCGGCGCTGAGACCCCCTGGTTCACATTCTCATCTGCATATTGAAACTTATTGTCACTCATATGCTTGTATTCCGAGCTGCCAGCAGCAAGGACCCAGGACGAAGCCTAGTACAAATGCTTTTTTAGAGCCGACAATACCCCTCTTGTTGCAGCAGCGAATATGCAGCCGGTGGCTTCTTATCGCATCGCTTCCACGAGTTCGATTTTACTCTTTATGCATGGCTGGTATGCTAGATGTTCCACAGATGCTGTGCGCTTCTGGAGACTTGAATCCTTCCTTGAGCCATGGACTGCACAGCAAGTCTCCGTCTAGCTCCATCTCGCTGGGTCCAGGGGGGCCGAGCGATCGTGTCACCGTAGGTTTCGCGAGACAAGCTGTACCTTCTAGCATATGACGATCGGTGACTCTGTATCCGTATAAGCACAACATAGCACCGCCACTCGCTGCTACTCAGCTTCTTTCTGAAACGTGTACTCGCGCGATAAGCGTTGCTGCACTGCCCCTCTCAACTCAGGGAGCTGTCTCCTTTGGAAAGTGCGCTTTTCCTCGTGCATACTTGTGGTTATCGGGCCGTGCGGATCGAACAGGTATAAAATCAGAGGCAGCCAGGGTGCGTATTATCGCCTCCCTCTCGGCGCCACAGTGGTGATCCCTATATTTGCAGCCAAGTTCCACTCTCCACCTTCCCAATCGTCTGCAGACTAGATATGACGGGACATATTTTCATCTCTCACCCGTCACGGACGGCAGGCTCTCACTGCCCATGTCACCGTTGTATGGGTGCCATCCAGCAGCAAGTACCCTCACCAATACCATTGTTGCGTATATCAGGCGTTCAGCCCGACGCTTATCAGTTGAAGGTGCCGAGCACACCAGCCCTGGCGTCACCATTGTCGAGTCTTCCGGACAGCTTCACAGCGCAATCGGTCCAAAGCTATGATGATGTAACAGCTCGGGTCTCCATCAACTCGGACCGCACTCTCGTATTCACCACCCCTCTCACGCAAGAGGCAACGCAGCCAAAGACCACCGTGGCAGCATGTCGCGTCCATGTGACGCACATTCGGGAATCCTTCGTCAGGCTATGGCCCGCGATCCACAACTTTGCACTGCACCTCTGGTCGTTCACACTCTACATTCTTTGCTCCACCGCAGCCGCAATTGCCTTGTCGCTCTTGAGCTTCATATACTCCTGCATGTGGTACCGCCACAACCCATACCCATCGACAGTCGCGCCCGCCCGCTTTTTTGTCATTTTCGCCACGCTCGGGAGTATCATCCCAGGAGTCCTCTGTGGCGTGTGGTTCTTCGTCGTGCTTCATCTTCCATCGGATCCTTCGGACACACATCAAAGTGGTGTCCTAATCTCTCGAAGATTGCGCGATCTCGGGAGCGAGGCCCTCATACTCTCTCTGCCGGTTCTTGTATTGGCCATCTTATTCGGCTCACTTCCACTGGGCGCGGCGATGCTCCGTGGTGGCATTGCAAGAGGATTGGACATGCGTCGTCTGTCAGGTTTTGCCGCTGCTGGCGGAGGAACCAGTGCGGTCACTATTGTCCTTATGATTCTAAGCGGTCATGCGCAGAGTTCGCGCTGACGATTGGACGTTTCTATCTACGTTCATCTTCTTCGCGTTTGGTTATTGGACTGCCTTCGAGCACTGTCTCTACGATACCCGACGTTCGAATATCTGCTACGGACATATCATGCATACAAGGAATCTGTATAATTGATCTCGTTTGTACTTCGAGGAGATCGAGTACTCAATGTTGATGCAAGCTTCCTGTCGACAGCTTCGACGCTGTCATCTCAATCGGGCACTCTCCCGCACTCTTATGAGATAAATTACTTTCGAACATGATATGCATGCCAACATACTCCTTCAGGTAGAGCGAATACAAGCTTCTCCGATCTCCTCGAATCGTGCGTCTCCAGATAAATTACGACTATGTCCACGCCCTTGACTCTGCTGATGCTGGAAGAACTGGAACAGCTCAACCTCGAGGAATGTAAGCTGCTCGCAACGTGCATCGCCTAAATGTCTATCGCGTTTTTCGTATAAGTAAACTGAGACGAGATATAATCCCGGAGCTTACCCCGCAAATAATACAATCCCAGGTAACGATATTTCAGGCCACGGTCCCGGAGAAGGCTCTGGATCGAGGGACCAGTATCCCCATGACATGCGGTCAAGGCGAATTACGTTCTTCTGGTCCGCATGAAAGTGGAAATATACATCGAGCGGAACTGAGGGAGATGTTACTCGGGGAAACCGTCGAGTGCTGAGATGACTTACCCGGATCAGTTACATCCATTTGGCCTTCGAGGCAACGCTCTTCAAGTGCTAACCATTGCGTGGTGGAGCTGTGTACAATTTCTTCGTTTTCACACGGATTCTCAGGACCGCAGCTGCCCAAGACAGTTGCTAATGCTGTATCTGTGATCTCTCTTACTAAAGTGCGAGCATTTAATCGGGGTGTGCCCATTCAAGAAGTTGAAGACGTACCCAAAACGAGCTCGTGCGCAGCTACTCCGTGTTCCTTGGCTATATCGAATATGCGATCCCAGTATGTATCGAGACACTCCTGCCTGAGAGTTTTGTGGACAGTGTACATGTACCGAGCATGTGTGCGAAAAGGGTCCAGTCTACATTTGAGGTACTGGGGGACTTCTTGCTGTCCCTCGATAAACGGACAGATATTAACGTGTGGATGTGACTCCCAAATGCCAGGTGCGAAATTTTGTCCAGCAGGCAGGAAGGCCGACACGTTACCTAGCCGTATGAACTCTTGTGCACCGGAAGGAAGGGGCATGTAATAACCGTAGTCACCAACGTAGGAAGCAGGAATGTCGTAGAAATACTCGCTTTCTTTAGATCTCGACCACGACTTGAGGTCAGCGGCGTGCCTATTCGAGTATCCGCCCTCCTTCAATTGATATAGACACTCGTGTAGAGCACCATAGTATGACTTCGTATGGAATGGCGGGACATAGCTATTCCACATCTTACGTGATCTCTGCAGAGTACATTGACGGGGTCAGACGAGAGTATTTTCGGAATGAATGATGCAAGCGTGCCTTGTTCGACCTGTAACGACGTGAGTTAGCTCTTCGACACTTTGTCGATACCATATATTGACCATACATTTCCCAAAAGTAGAACATACTGAGGTTATGGCTATTAACCAGGTCCTCGACGTGCAACAACAGTTTCCCGTCTGGACCAAGGGTGGTATTTGGAAAAGGATCACTATTCCTCGCATCTGTTAGTGTGAGTTGTGAGGATGCATAGTCAAATGCTGTCTGCATAAGAATAGTAAGATGGTGTCCGCATAATTTGAATCACACAAACCTTGAAGTCTAGCATCTGGAGTGCTCTTAGTATCAATAACAACAGAATAAAGCGGGGACATACCGTTTGCAGCCATGTGTGCAGCAACGTCTTTGTATCCATAGCTGTCCAAATGTAGTCCTCATCGAACTGGATGGTGCCTAGAGCGATCTCAGCATTTGGAGGGCGGATAGCGCATTATGCGCTCACCGGTCTCCATGACATAGAACTTCTCTGGTACGTCGGAATGCGAATAGCCAAGTATTTGAGCAACATGTGGGTGGAACCTACGGGAGTTAACGCATAAATCGAATGAATACATAAACAGACACATACAGTTGAGGTATACGTCGACACAATACTGCTAAATCCTCCTGCAATGCTTGTCAAATGGGAAGAGGTGGGCTTCTTGCTGGATCACACGTACCTGCTGCGCACGACTGCTTTGTAACCTCCGTACTACTACCGTCCTTCCTCCCCAATCTGCAGTCCACTCCTCACCAGCCTTTTCATTTTGTATTATCCAATCGCCCTTGACAGCTCGGAGACGCAGCTCCGGCTTGCGGAATAGGTGATACTGGATGCGTCTTCAGAAATATGAACGTGTAGCTCGGAAGAAACAAACCCCATCCTTGTCTGTTGTAGCCTGCATATGTGCGTGCTGGAGCTGTCGGTTCATCTTTCTCTCCAAGCTGAGCAGACACCAGGCCTGTAAGGCTGGATCAACGGACGCGATTGAAATAAAAGAACAGATAACGAACGTTGAAGGAGTCCCTGGCTCTATCAAGGGCGTCCATGTGCTCATCTAGTTTACGAGATATACTGTTATAACGCAGTAAACGATTCCTGAATTTGCGTTTTCGCTGTTCCTCAATGTCCTGTTGCACACGCTCAAGAGTTCTATCGTTCCGTCATCGGCGCACTCGTATCAGCACGCAAATATATTGGATTAATCATACTCACATCGTTAGAGTGGCCAAATTCTGGCCCAAGTCTGCGTCAATCGCTTCAACATCATGCGAGATCCTCTGCTCGATGTACTGTGCGAGGTCTGCTGCACGTCGAGCTAGGCGCTTGCCGCGATCATCCAGACTCTTGACATTCTGATGTTGGAGAATGTTCAGGTTAACTAGGGTTACGGGTAAACGCACAGAGACGATCACCTCAATCGTCTTCAGTAAATTGACGCATGTCCCGATTACAGCACCGAGAAAAGGAACAGCCGATACCGCGCTAGAAGCCTCTTTGAGGGTTTCGAGGACGACTATCGAGTCTGCAAGAAGGTCATCCAGCTCGGGGCGTCTCGGCATTGTGAGTCCCTGTGATGATAGTCGGTGCGGTCGAATCACCTGTAGAAGAACGATTCTGAGACAACAATTCACGAAGGCGTCTAAGCACTGCATTGTCGCTAGATCCTGATTCCTATGCTTGTACATCACATGATCATGTCATATGCCATGGCTTGTGAATCGGTGATTAGAATCGCCCAGCGCAAGCTCACGATGTCGAAGGCCCTTGCGGCCAATGGAGCTGGTAAGC